TTATCAAAGGACTCGTAGTCAATGCCATCAGTTGTGTCCACACTCTTGGTCTCGCCGTTAGTCAACTCGACTCCGATGTCGTTATTATTGCAATCATTGGTCCAAAAGAGTTGGTGACTGAACGGGAGGTCCCGGCGCTCGGCTCTGTCCAACAGGTCCTGGTCTTTGAGCCGCTCCTCGAGTACGCCATAAATGGCCTCCAATTCGGTGATGGCGTCGGTCCGCGAGTGGTTCCGCATCTGCAGAGTCTTGAGATTCGTGTGGTATCTGTTGCGGTGATTATCATCGGACCATCGGATGACTAACGCGCCTCTCCTGCGGGCGGTGTCTTCGTGGGACGGGTGGTGTCCGTAGCCCTCACTCGCTGTGAACCACGTCCTGGCGCTCGAGCTGCTGGTGCTGGACGTCGACGACATGGCCGTCCCATTTGATCCCAACGCACAACCTCTGGAGACAGTGATGTCGTGATGTCTGCAGTGTTTCAATACATTTGAGACACAAATGCGAGCGAAGAGACCGAAGACACGAATGAAATGCAAAACAAAACACAAAACAATTGAATGAAAACACAAACAATGAGTGAATGAGTGAGAAGTGGCACTCAATTAGAGGTCATTTCCATACAAATAACGTATGAATGCATTAATGCGTACAAAATGTTTGGCATTTGTTTTAACAGTTGTTTTAATTGAATATCGCAGCGAATGGCGTCAACAAAAGGGCCTTAAATTGGCAGCCAATCGGCGCCACTAATCGATACCTTTTGAATCTATTGGTCGACAAGTTTTTCCAATACTTTGTTGTTTTGCTGTCAATACTCGCGAGAGTCGAGTGAATCGCTTTGCGCTCTATATTTAGTGCTCAATACATATCGCATTGAATGCATTGCATGAATGCATTGATTTCATAACACATTTACGGTCGCATTGAAAACACAAATGCATTAATTTTTCGCTAATTTATTTTAAAACATATTTTTTCTGCTTTCGTTAACACATTTCAATGGCTCGTAAAAAAGTGTGTTTTGTGACGATTGTCTGTAAAATACTCATTAAAATAGTTTTCGCAAAACTTATTTGAATATCAGTTTCGTATCCATAAGTGCAGTGAAACGCAAACTTTTTGCACAACTTTTTTGGTCCGAAAAACTTTTTTTTTGTATCACACAATACGCCGGCTTTTTATATGGAACGGTAAGTGATAGCACCTTGGTTATAATCACCTTGGCTACTGTCCCGCTTTTCTCAATGCTATTTCAAACATGTATTTCAATACTATTATGTATTTAAACGCAAAATATGATTACAAAATAAATCCCTCTATTGTAGAGGAAATGAGTGGAAATTAAAACTCATTAAAAATTGTCTGCTTTTTCTCAATAGACATGTAAACGCATTGCAATTATGAATGCCTTTTGTTTTATTATTGAAAACTTTTATTTATTCAATCAATCATTTAATAAACGCTTTCGTACTGACAATACAAATAAATTAGTCGTTAAGAAAACAATGCCAGAAAATAATTGATATTTTAATTGACACTCGTTTTCATGTCTCGATATTAGAGTTATATATATTATATAAGCCAACAATTCATACGTACTGACAATACAAATAAATTAGTCGTTAAGAAAACAATGCCAGAAAATAATTGATATTTTAATTGACACTCGTTTTCATGTCTCGATATTAGAGTTATATATATTATATAAGCCAACAATTCATATGAATTTGTTTTGTTCACAAAAGGCACTGAAATGAAAACAAATTGTTTGACTAAAAAGAAAATAAAAATATATTTCGCCATAAAAACTTCAACTCAAAGATAGGATAACCTCTTAAAAGCTTATCTATTGACTGATAGTGACTGACAGACATATAGAGTATTATAAATATTATCCAACATTTTTGTATTACTAGGTGTGTGTCATATCCCTGGCTAAAAATTCTTTGAACACCGAGTGGTGTGGGGGTTATACCTGGATATTCATATTTTAATTTTTTTTCACACCCTTTATACCCGTATCAAATAAATTGAATTCAAATATGTATGCAAATACTGTAGCATAATGTTAGTCATGTTTATTCAGCAGTTGTTTTGAAAAGTTTTTGGCATTCATTCAAACAAACGTCTCAACACTGGTATGAATTGATGCAAACAAAACTTGGGGGTTGTGTTAAGGCGGGGATTAATGCATGGGATTAATGTGTGAATTAATGGGATTAAGGGATGGGAACGGCATTCAGGAAAGTTATTGTCATTCAACTCAATACCAATACTCGTGTCGTACAGTCTATGAGTAGTTTCGCAAAAATGAAATTAAACTTTTATGACTTTATTCACAGACAACATATCAGACTTAGGGGCAGAGGTCATGAGCGGGGGAGGGGTTTGCAGTACACATGAAGCTATGAATCCTCTGTGAACGGGGGGCTAATAAATGGTTTGTTTTGATGGTAACGCTGTATGCGGCTTACAATGAATTGAATGACAAACAAATGGATTTGCGTTTGCATTGAATTGTCGTTACATTTGATACGAAAACAACAAAAACAGTGTTTTGTGTCCAAAGCAGTGGTTGTGTGCGATATGAGGGATCAGTTTAGCGGTCATGCCATCCGTGTCCACAGAGACCAATGAGTGACACAAATGTCTTATCTTAAGAATCCGGACGTCAATGACAACCTCGCGAGCCATGAGCCCATCAGTGATCGCCTGACAGCCGAAGACATCGATGGCGGACACCGTCTGACAGACAATAGCCTTAACAAAGACACTGACATTCAGACGGTCTCTTCGGGAAGCGCTCTAAACGCAGATTCGTGTGAGACTGCGATCAACGACAGCGACGTCTTGGATGTGGATCTGATCCAAGAGGTGAAGCCAATACTGAAGCGAAAGAGTTTAGACGAGACAGAGATCAAGACATTGCCGTCGATACTGAAGAAGAACCACTCATTCGAGTGGTCGTCCAAACAGGCGGTCCTAAAGCGCCACTCATTGGGCTCTGAATGGGATCACCGAAATCCTGCTCTTCTGATGAGCGCTGAGATCGACATCACGTCTCCGACGCCTTCTTCTTCTTCCAGCCGAAAGCCTTCTTCGAGAATCCATTCGATACTCAAACACAAGAGTTTGGACGAGAAGTGCGTCCAATCGGCGAGAGATGACTACAATCTGCCGAAACCTATACTCAAGAAGAATCTGAGTATCGAAGACGAGATCGAGAAATGCCTGTCTCTGACAAATCTGAACAACGGATCCGCCAATGGCTCCAACCATTCGGTAACCGCCAGTAGTTCCGGTCAATCAACCAGTAGTCCAATGACTCACCCCATAGACGGCCCCAGAAATACTAGAAGTATATTAAAGACTGGTTCTGAACAACAGCTAAGAGTGCGAACCGTTATGACCCGACCCGTGGAGGTGAAGGGTATCCTCAAAACAGGCCATAAGAACGGTTCCAATGATTCAAAGCCAGTCAAAAGTGCTCTTAAGAAGTCCGACCAATCCATTGAGAATAAGTCTGAAGTGAAATCGATACTCAAGTCTGAGAGCATCGGATCAAATGAGATGATCAACACATCCGACTCTAACTCGTCGTCCGGCGATGAGGGCATCGATGCGGACAACCCGTCGTCCACTGCCAACGCCATCAAAGGTGAGGATCACATGATGTCGTCGACCAGTAATAACGGCTGTAGTGATGATAATCACCACAAGAGTAACGGAAACTCTGTTGAAACGCCTAATTCATGTGCTCTAAGAGACACCGAAGAAAACCCGAATCAAAGGTAAACCAAAAAACCAAAAAACAAAATGAAGATTAAAATTGCTGTAAAACTAATGGTTTTGATTATTAACCAAAAAACTCGTTGTGTATTGACTAACATTAAAACTAACAGTGCAATAGAGGTTTGGGAACCAATTATTTTTTAACACTTTTATCTCAATTATAACTTACGAATAATTTTATGTAAATTACTAACACTTTGTATACATTTTTTTGTTGACTCGTTTTGTTGGCAACACTTTGCCTATAATTACTGGTTATTGAATATTGAATAACTTTTTAATAATACTAATGACATTAAATTTTTATTGCAATGCCTTTAAAAACTTATTTTTAAACCAATTTGTTTACTGAACCGCAAAAATATATCTTATATTCAAATCGCTGCTAATAATTGTTGAGATATACTGAGAAAAATGAACTGATTTTATGTGTTTTTGTAATCTTTTTTCTATATATAATTTTCTCTTCTCTCGAAATACACTTTAATTATATTTCGTATTAAATTATATTTATTTTAAAAATAGTGTAACGATTTTATAACACATATTGTGATTTGCTATCATTTACTGACATGAAAAGTGTTCATATTTGAAACTATCGACTCTTTTTGAATGATATTTTCACTTAAAATACTGTTTATTAAACGAATTCTATAATTAAAACTTCTTTTGAATTTCTGCCAAATTCTTGTGTGTCTTTCAATTACTCTAACGTTTCACTAATACTTCTCTCATTCATAACACACTTAATACTCTCCAAAACTTTCATTTCACTCTTTCACTCGCTCTTGGCTTAAAAATTGAAGATTTTCTGGTAATGAATGAAATAATATCTCTAAATATCTATTAAAACCCCATTTTGTCTTCAATTTTTCGTACGTTTCGATAGATTTTTGTTGAATAATCGCCGGTTAGACCACAAGCGACCGGCCAGTTGTATAACTATGAGTACGACGAACCCCATTGTGATTGATGGCGAGCCGCCGCCCACATCGAGCACCGCCAGCGCCGCTGACGTGAGGAAGTCGGTCAGCGGATCCATTTCCGAACGATTGGCAGCTCTTAAGCATAACGGCGAAGAGAATTGGAAGAAACGGATCTCGAAAGTAGACGACAAGGATGTGGTGCTAAGAGTGCCAACCAATGGCAACAAAGCGGCGGTGGCCAGGAATAGGGCGACCAGTATTGCCGAGAGAATGTCACTTCTGGAGGACTCGAGCGTGAAGTGGAAGAATAGAGTGGAGGATAAGGACGTCAAGCAGTTCACAGTCGAAGGCAAACTGTCCGAAACGGATATCGTTGTCACCAAAACGCCAGACATTCAGCGAAAGACACCGAAAGCTGTGCCCTTTCGCAGCGAAAAGACTGCAGAGATGTTGAACTCAATGCTGAAAAAGGACAGACAAGTTGTGGTGCCAAAAGTGGTGACAACCGACACGTCCATTGCCAGTGATACTCAAACTACTACTCAGTGTTCAAAAGCGAATTCGGAAGCAGTGGTCGTCTCTGTGCAGAAGACAGACGATGAAGAGTTTAATTCATTCTTTAATTGCGAAATCAATTTCAATACTAACGGAGCGAATGAGACAATAAGTGATGAATCGTTTGACAAGTTAGGGGTCGGAGTGTCTAACCTGTAAGTAGTGTTTGTATTTTAGACCATCACTTGATTTGGCATTGAATGTCAACATTAATGCCGTTTCAGATTAACCCAAAAGAGAGCGTCTGTGAGACCGCAGACCAGACGCAAGACTTCTTCGAATCCGATCCGCAGTCTAAACGCCAGAACAGACTTTACGGTCGAGTCTTATGTCGAGACACCAGTCATGGAGACCATCAAAACGGACGACAATATTAGTCTGAGACCAAAGAAGTCGAAAGATTTGGTGAAATCTTCGAGTTTTGCTGCGTCTGCGTTGGCAGGACTGGCCAGTCGTGAGGACTTCAAGGCAGTGGCCGGAAAACTAAGGAGTTCGGGCACCGCGTCGTCCCGAGACAGCTGGAAGTCCTACGATATGCCGAACTCCATACAGAGCCTAATGGTTGTGCAGATCAAAGGGCGCCGCAGGGCTCAGACGCGTCTCGTCGAGCCGGACATGAAGTCGATGAATGCGGGCGACTGTTATATACTGGTGTCGAGGGAACGGGTGATTGTGTTGATCGGCCTGTTCTCGAATGTCATCGAAAAGACCAAAGCGCTGGAAGTGGCGAATCAGATCCAAGAGAAAAAGGATCTGTGCTTCCGGTCGTCCAATCCGGTGGTTGTCATCGATTGCCAAAAACCGGAATCCATTTCCCCGCGAAACAGGGATTTGTTTTTGACTCAATTGGGCGCCAAATCCATGGACTCTATCGGTCCGCCCGGTAATACCGATGAGGACGAGGTATACGAAGACACCATAATTGGCACGAATATGATATATCGTGTGAATAACGAGCAATTAGTTCCATACGAGGAATACTGGGGTCGGGTTCCACGGTATGAGATGCTCGACACCGACCAGTGCTATGTGTTTGACATGGGGTCAGAGATGTATGTGTGGGTCGGCAATAGGGCCGAGTCGGTGGTCAGGAAGTG